TTTTATCAGCTATTGAAGAAAATGGGAATGTTTCTCTTTCCTAATTGATCTGTTTTCCGTTGGATTAGTTGTTCTATCAAATTTATTAGGTAAATTCTCCTGCAAGTTTTAAAGAATTCAGAGAATTTGTTTTGGTCTCATCATATGATGCAAAGTGAAATATGATTTTAATTGAGTAATTCCAACTTTTAATTGACATGCATCTCTTTCTGAGTGTAAGATGTCTGCTCCACATATTGATCTTCTTGCTCTGTTATTTTCTTCTATTGAGACAAACAGAGTCTAAAGAAGCCTCTACTGCAGTTCCAATGAGCTGTTTTCTTTGGCCAGTTTCTTCACTTTGTCAAAAAAGAATATACTGCTACTTGCTTTCAGTCACAAACACTCGTGCTTTTTTACATTTCGTAATTTGCTTTAACATGAGCTGAGGTTCTATCCATTGGCGATTTGGAAAATATTGACTTTTAATGTCTGCACATGAATCATATATTTCCGACCGCTGTGTTGATCCTGTTGGGCTAAAACGATCCAAAAATACTCTTGGTGTAGGCTAATTTAGAGATTAACTGTGTGCCACCCAAATGATCCGAGGAATTACAGTTGCCAAAGCCCAAAGATTATGTATGCGTCTTCAAATGTACCGGTAAAGGTCGTAAATCGTCCCATAGACGGGCAAAGGCACCAAGCTAGGCCCCACGTTTGACGTCACACTTCGCCATCTCCATACTTCTCCCTTCTAAATCATTGGCTTTGTTATCTATTGTTGGGCTAAAACGGCACAAAATACTCTTGATATTAATCACTTTGGGTCAAGCCCATACAGTTTTCCCCAAAAGGTCTAACACCATTAAGAATACTCAACTCCTTATAAGTAGCTTTTTTTTTTCCTTTCTATTTTCCAACAACTCCTTATAAGTAGCTTTGTCCCTTTCTGCTTTCCACGTGGGACTTTGTTCACACACACCCAACATATCCCAGTGACTTGTTACATTCAATCTAACATGCCAAAGTTAGTCATCTTCCTATGTATATACTATATGATATGAGTATCTTAATTTAGATATAAGTTATAAATATTAATTTTCTTATTTATGAATGATTACATCTAAATTATTGACTTGTGCATCTTTTTCCAGGTGTTTTTTCTTGATTTGTAAAAGAAGGAAAGGTTTATCATCTTATGTTGATCTAGTTCCTTGAGAAGCTATTAATGGAATCATCTCCAGATCCAACCGTGGAGACGACGAACAGCAAGCCCCCAGGAATTCGATTGATAGAGAGCATGAAGAAGTCAAGCCTGTCTTTCAAGTCATATCAAGTCATTGTCCTAATTCTGACATTTTTTGCATATACAAGTTACCATGCTAATCGAAAAACTACTAGTATCGTGAAACAAGCACTTGGTCCCCAATCCCCTGGTGTTCTTCCGAGTTTACAGTGGCAAAGAAATATTACTCAGAAACCATTTAGAGATGGTTGGTTGCCATTTGATGGCCCCAATGGAACAGCAATGCTCGGTGACCTTGATGTGGCTTTCCTATTTGTGTATGCCATTGGAATGTATTTCTCAGGACATGTGGGCGATAGGATGGATCTGAGAATATTTTTGACAGTAGGAATGTTGGGAACTGGTTTATTCACAGCTCTTTTTGGAGTTGGATATTGGGCAAACATCCATAATTTCTATTACTATATGCTCATTCAGATGGTTGCTGGATTGTTCCAATCCACTGGATGGCCTTCAGTAGTTGCAGTAGTCGGGAATTGGTTTGGAAAGAAGAAGAGAGGACTTATAATGGGCATTTGGAATGCTCATACTTCAGTCGGTAACATTACAGGTTCATTGGTCGCCTCAATCTTATTGAAATATGGATGGGGTTGGTCCATGGTTGTTCCTGGTATCATTATTGCTTTTAGTGGTATGGTAGTATTCCTTCTTTTGCCAGTTCATCCAGAGTATGCTGGAGTTAACAAGGATGAAGATGAAGTTTTATCTACTGGAAAAGAAGACGAGGAAGTGAATGAACCTCTCTTGAGAGAGGAGGAATCAGCCGTGGGTTTTATAGAAGCATGGAGGATCCCAGGGGTTGCACCATTTGCTCTTTGCCTTTTCTTTGCCAAGTTGGTGGCTTACACATTTCTCTATTGGCTCCCTTTCTACATTAGCCACACAGGTTTGTCTAACTGCTCTATCTATATTTGTCATGGTAGATTTCTTGTCTTTTTTCTTGCTCTATTATGCAAAAAGTATGTATCGCATCTTATTGTATGGTTAATGGTCCTGCAGCTATAGACGGAAGATACTTGTCCAACGAGGATTCTGGAAACTTGTCAACACTGTTTGATGTTGGAGGAGTAGTAGGTGGAATTCTAGCAGGTTATATCTCTGATCAGTTGGATGCTAGAGCTATAACAGCTGCTAGCTTCATGTACTGTGCTATCCCAGCCCTATATCTATATCGAAGCTACGGACACATTTCCATGACTATAAACATTATTCTCATGTTGATTACTGGAGTGTTTGTGAATGGCCCTTATGCGTTAATAACAACTGCCGTTTCAGCTGACCTGGGAACACATAGGTCTTTGAAGGGCAATTCACGAGCACTTGCAACTGTGACTGCTATTATTGATGGAACTGGCTCAATTGGTGCTGCCATTGGACCATTTCTAACGGGTTACATTTCAACTAAGAGCTGGAATGCAGTTTTCGTGATGCTTATGGGAGCAGTTTTCATTGCTGGTTTGCTTTTGACCAGGCTAGTTGTAGCCGAGGTGAGCGGAAAGATTCAAGAATTGAGGTCCCAAAGATCATCCTGACCAATGTCCGCTAACCTTGAAGTTTGCCATAAAATTGTGATATTAGTTGCATTCTTTTATTGCTTTCTGTGTGATAATCCACTGCCTTTTTGGATATTAGCGTTTGCTCTCAGAAATGAAGTAGTAGAAATGCTCAAATCAAAAATCTGAATGTTTAGATGGTCTTGTATGCAAGTTAAGACGAGGATATGAATCTTTCTCCATTTTGTGGGACAGAGTCTGAAGGGGAGAAAACTGCAGATGACATGACTCCTTAGGTCGTCATATATACATATTCACATATACATTTTTGTGTGTCGTAAAAGGATCAAATATCTGAATGTAGAGTAGTATTAGTGTGGGCTGCTGAGAGTTTGTACACATTTTGTTTCTTTTTCATTTGATTCTTGCAATACATCCTCCTAAATAAAGGTTTCTTTTTGTCTACTGAGGGGTCGTTTGGTAGGGCGTATAAGAATAATGCTAAATAAGGTGCATTAGTAATGCAGGTGTTAGTAATGCATGGGTTAGTAATGCACGCATTAGTTACACAGAGATTATTTCTTATGCATTGTTTGGTGTGGTGTATTAAAAATTAAAATGCATTGCATAATTTTTAAGAAATTTAATTGTTTACAAAAATGCCCTCCATATTCGTTAACTTAAGGGACTTTAAGGATAATTTTGTCTTTAACCATGCTAATGCATGCATTAATAGCCTTTGTATAGCTAATGTCATTGTTTTCTATGCATTAGCTATACATAGGATAATACCAAATAGAGTGTATAACTAATACTTGTATTAGTTATATATAGGTTGAAAAAATGTACCAAACAAAGCATTACTAATACACAAAGCTAATGCATGCATTATTTTCTCTAACGCACTCTACCAAAAGACCTCTGAAAGTTGTAATACGGTCGTCATCTATCAAAGCCCTGGCAAAAAGTATTCTTGCACAACTTAGTTGGATGGGCCTACTACTAATTGAATTTTTTGATAAGTTCTGTATTTCCCACATCCAATTCTCTGATTGAAACATCATTCAAGTAGCTTTCTAATGCCGTAGAGGATTAAACTTTTTCTTTGTTTGCCAATACATTTTCAGAAAAGGGATCAACTACATATGAAAATCAAACAATGCTATTAGGGGTGTTCGTTGATCGATACTGTACGGTATTTAGACATTTTGGTTCGATATTTTCGGTATTCGGTTTCTTAAAATCCTATACCAATACCGTACCAAATTAAATTCGGTATTGTTCGGTTTTTCTCTTTTCGGTTTCGGTTTATTCGATTCAGTAACTTCGATTTATTCGATTTGAATATTAACTAGTGCATAGAGCTATAGACTCTAATATTCTTAATTAAAGTACTCAAAAATACAAAACTAAAAATGTTTGTTGACAAAAAATTTGTCCAAAACTAGCAAATATCGACCCAAATAGAGAAAATTGTACATAAAAGAATATTTGATCATTAGAAATGTCTTGTTACTTGTATAGAGTTAATTGATGAACTTGGAGAATAAAGAAAAGTAAAATTTTAGATTTTATATTTATGTTATAATTGATAATATATGTTTTGTGTAATATAATATAATATATATATATATATATATATATTTCGGTACGGCATCGGTATTTCGGTATTTTATTTTAAAATACCAAATACCATACCTAATACCATTTTTTTTTAAAAACTTAAACCAAATACCATACCCAATATCAAAATACCGTATACCAAATACCAAAATTTTCGGTTTCGGTACGGTAATTCGGTATTTATCAAATTATGCACAGCCCTAAATGCTATAGTACCACTTAAACCAGACATCAGTTCCTAAATATTTACTCCAACAGTATCAATTACCTTGTAGAAATCACAAAAAGAAATCACCGATTAAATCTAACAGCATACAGTCTACGATTGTTTTTCCCTACCCAGAAATTAAAAGAGTCCCTTGTTGATGAAATATCTGGGTGCGAGCTATTAAGCTTCAAGTATGCCTATCAATGATGTCATCAGATCAAGCTAGCACCAGAGGACAAGAAAAATATCTTTCTTTTTTACGGACCAAGGCCAAGGGACAGACTTATACATGGTGATGCTATTCAGGAAAAAAAACGTTGGGACACGTATCATGAGGTCGGTAATAAATTGTGCTTAAAGGATGAATAAGGGGTTGGTAAGTAAATTCTTCAAAAATGTTGAGAATGTATTAAAGCAAAAACAGGTGCGTACATTATGGAGGCTATGCAGACAATATGCTGCTAAAAATAAAGATAGATCAAGAGCAACTGTCTTGGGGCTATAAAATAATGAGGGAGCACAACTGGACGTTGAATCCAAGTGTAGGTTCTGGGTGGCAACAGGTAAGGTTTTGGAAAATTTGATCTCTGAACAAAGAACCGAGGCCAACCTTCATAAAATATGTTAGTTCCATCTTGGAAATGGAACTGCCCTGCACCACCAACGAAGTTCAACATTAACATAAGGGAGAATGGTAGACCTCAACTGTATTCTTGTGGAATCATCGATAGGAAAAGAACTCAATTCCAGTATATTAAAAGGTCAGGTATTACCAATTGATAAAGGAGTGTCCCACATGCGTTTAAGAGTCTAACAGAATACTTGCATCACTGCTACTTCTCACTAAACTCTCCTACTTATGGTGCTAGCCCTTGACAAATTTAACTTCATAATCCTAGTGAGGCAAATCTTTTGATAGGTTGTGGGAGAAGATCCGTCTTAAATTAGCCAAATATGTCACAATCTGATAACTCAGTGCAAAATGTATGAGCAAGCAAGGTGTAATACCTCCCAGGGCTTAGAATTGAAACGTCATGAAGACATACTAGCCTCTCTTAGGAGCTAACCTGAGCATTAACTGAACATGCTAAAACCCATTAACTCAGGGCAAAATGTATGAGCAAGCAAGGTGTAATACCTCCCAAGGCTTAGAATTGAAACGTCATGAAGACATACTAGCCTGTCTTAGGAGCTAACCTGAGCATTAACTGAACATGCTAAAACCCATTTGATAAGCTAGATTATCTCCTTTCTATAATCTACTGTTGTGGAGATTTACGCCATGGTATTCATACACCTATATCTGGCAATTCAAATGAACTAGTGACATTCGCATCTGATCATTTTGACAAACATACGGCTTCAAATGCATTTTATTTGCAACCTTTGACCCAGTAATCTCCTAAAATGAAACAAACTACAAGTGCTGTGAAGTACCAAGGGAAAAAGAAGCAGCTGAGCTCAGCAGGAAGTAGGCAATGCACCAGATATACCCACAATTTCATACGCTAGAGAGAAGCCTTTAAGAAAGCAGAAGTGCACTTTTATCATCGATTGTCCCCAATTTCTAATAAAGTTGGAATGAGTGACATGGGTCTAAGTGATACTTCTGCTAGTTTCCGTTTTCAGAAAATATCGTTCCACACAACTGTTTCACAAGAAAGTTTTTGTTTTTTCCGGACACTATAATCCTACAAATTATTTTTCAAAACTTTTCCAGAGAATCATTCAAAGGTTACACTTAGACTGTTCTTACCTCCCAGAAAATGCAATCTCTTCAGAACACTGAGGAACATCGTCAAATAGGTAATAACTGCCGGACCAGTGTCAGACATCACAGAAAAGAACTTCCAAATGTGTTCTGCTTAGTATTTTCAAAAGATCAGCCAAAAAGCTAGATGGCCAAGTCCCAATTAGAAAATGTCCTAGAATCCGCAGCCAAACAAACATTCCACAGTTCCTTGATATGGTGCAAATTTCAATGTAAAAAGGTCTAAAGGTAGATAAATCTTTACCGACTAAAAGATATGCAAGCAGCCAATTGTACGGACAAATTATGCAACTATTCACCATTACAAACAAAACGTCTAACTGATAAACCATAAACCAGAATGGATGCATAGCAACACAAATTCCTCAAGGAACATATTTAACACGAAATTTTGTCATAAAATTGTATTATTGTAGCTCTCAGTACCTATCTCAAAGGATTGCTAGTGAACACTGGTCTACCATTCAGATCTCTTCCTACAAAAGGAAAGGGCACTCAGTCTAAAATTCTGCTAAAACTTGAGATTTAATTGGAACATCGAGCGCCACATAAACATAATTACACAAATTTAAGTGATACTAGTTGAACATTGAGTACGCATTCAACTTGTCGATCGGCCCAAAGGGCGAAATTATTCCTCTGGCGCACAGTTTGATATAGAGAAAATCAAGTAAAAATCATCATTAACATTTAACAGGTCAAATTTACTCGAAGATTTCAATCTAGCATGCTATAAAGGTCACACAATTCATGATTGTCTCGGTTGAACTGTTATGGACATTAGCAATAATTATTTGAATTTACATTCACAGCGAAGGGAAAACAAAAGGAAATTGAGGATTTAGGAATGGTTAACCTGAAAAAAACAATTAGCCGATGAAATCTAAAGGCGATCACCAGGTTTGGGGGGCTTGCGATATTTCTCTTCGACATCTTTGGCCTTGAATAAAGCGTTCTGAATAAGCTTTCGAATGTTGGGGACGTTGTAGTTCTGAGCTATGTATATTCCGCAAACAGTTCCTGATATGAATGAGAAACTGCTCCTTATAATCCCCATCACACTTTTTCTGTTCCCTTTTTCCGGCGAGTGCTGAGATGTGGAGCGATTTGCAAGACAACTGGACTGAGGATGTAGCTGTCCACCGCCGACTCGCACGCAACTGGTAGAGAGTTGCCTTTGGACCCTTTTTTTTTTCTTTTTCTTTTTTAACTATTCAAAAAATGAGGTGCATATGACAACTCATCAAGCCTTGTTTCCGGAGGGCGGACCTATGGTTTGAGCACAATGAGGCATCACTGTGTACTTATCTAGTGATAAAATTTGGCATGTAACTCTTGAAAAACTTAGTGATTATAATGATTTATCATCCAAGTATAAACAAAAAGAAGTTTTAAAAAAAAACAAGCAGAGAGAAATTTCGTCGCAAAATAGGTGCTATGAAATGGGAAGGTATTTGATTAAGCATGTTTCGCCTTTTAAAATTTCTAGTTTTTTAATTAAAAAAAGGTTAGTGATCAAAAGACCGTTCATGCTTTAAATTATCAAAACTTACTAAAGAAATTAAGATTAAGTGTATGTTAATAGTCAAAGAATTGAAGAAAGTCTCAAACTCTTAGCTGTCAGAGAATTGAAGAAGAGTCTCAAACTCTTAGTTGTCATTGTCGAGTCGGTGTCAAAGTAATTGTTGAAGAAGGTTGTGCCAGAAGGATTCTGTATACGGTCAAAATCGAGGAGTATGATTTTGGAGTCTTAAATTGGGTTATAGGCTCGAGTGTATGGGGGAGATCCGGCAAAAGGACACCTACCTCGAGGAAGCTGATCAAAGGCATGACGCGGACTGCATCGAGGACAACATAATCTCGAAGTCAATCAAGAAAGAGCAGGAATTTCTCAAAGACATGTGGATCTGGGCATTAATTATAGGATACGGGTTGTACGAAATAGTACAGGTCCGTACTAGACCGTTATACACATGTACCAATAGGATTCTTTACTTTTATGAGCAAGGTACTATATTGGGGTTTTCTCCTCCTATATAAAGGGGATCCCAATTATTTTGTAAAGGAGAGATCATTTTATAGCAATAGAACATTCTTATTCTTCTCTTGTTTAACGTGCTCAGCAATTACTTTTCAACTTTATTGTCTTTACTTTATTGTTCATACCTTCTTGGTCTTAGCTAACCTCGGGGTCCTTCGATAGACGAGCTCGAGGCCCCCTACTATTTCAGCAATACTATTTTGGTTCATTATTTCTTCTTACTTAAGCTCAATATTAATTGTTTAATCACTAGTATTAAAATATATCACGTATCTTTAAAACCACAAAAATATCTTTAATTGTTACTCACATTTTTAGAGGTAAATAGTTTGGCACCCACCCTGGGGCTAAAGATAATAGTGATTATTTTAGTGCTAGTTTTCTGATAACACACGTTATTCTTCACACTTTTTCTTGTCAAAGATTTTTTTATTTCAGGCCAAAATATGTCTAACACACAAAATGCACCTGCTCATGACAGTGAAGGACTTGGAGAAAATAGCGGCATAGGGCTTGTGTACCACCTGTAAACCTGAAGGGAGTGCCTAACGCAGAGCCAGTTGATATCAGCTCCCACAACGCTCTAAACACAGAAGCAGGCACAGACCCCGTAAGGAATGAATGCAGGGAAGCTTAGGCTGGAGGCCAGGAAATGCGAGAACCGAAAGAAGGAGTAGTCAGCCTCCAGTTGATATTCGAGATATTGCAAGCTCAGCAAGTCGCCATCATTCAACTTCAGAGTCAGAACAGGACTCCTAACACCGTCGAACCAATAAACACACAGCACGAACCTATGCTTGAAAGGCCCGATGAAAGTGGCACGAGGACTGACCCCACAATCATGAAAATTCTCGAGGAACTGACTAAAAGAATCGAGTTAGGAGAAAAGAGGATAGAAGACAACGATAAAAAGGTAGAAACTTACAACTCTCAGGTGGACCAAATACCGGGAGCACCTCCAGTTTTGAAGGGCCTAAATGCCAAAAAATGCATACAAAAACTTTTCTCCTCGAGTGCGACTGCAATGCCCATTCCCAAGAAGTTCTGCATGCCCGATATACCGAAGTACAACGGGACAACGGACCCTAACGAACATATTACTTCGTACACTTGTGGGATCAAAGGAAATGACTTGAATGATGCCGAAATCGAGTCAGTATTATTGAAAAAGTTTGGAGAAACGCTATCAAAAGGAGCTATGATCTGGTATCACAACTTAGCTCCTAACTCTATTGATTCATTTGCTATGTTGGCGGATGCCTTCATAAAAGCACACGCCGGGGCCACAAAGGTGGCCACAAGAAAATCGGACATATTCAAGATAAGGCAGAGGGATGATGAAATGCTAAGGGAGTTCGTGTCCCGGTTTCAGATGGAAAGGATGGAATTACCCCCGGTCTCCGATGACTAGGCGGTTTAGGCCTTCATGTAAGGTTTGAATGAAAGGAGCTCAATAGCATCTCGACAGCTAAAGTAGAACTTGATCGAGTATCCAGGTGTGATATGGTCGGATGTGCACAATCGGTATCAGTCAAAAATTAGGGTCGAGGATGGCTAGTTGGGAGCCCCCTCGGGCTCAGTTCACCCGAACAGATTCACAGTCAAACCCCCGAGGGACACAGACCGGGGATCAATATTCAACAAGGAAATATATCAACCGTACGTCGAAGACAGAAGGAACATTTTAAGGCACAATGCACCTCGGAATGATCGAAGAATAGATCAAGGCCAAAGCTCCCGGAGATTCGTGGGAAAAATCGGGTCCGACAGGCGCCCGGGGCCAGTGGAGGCCCCCAAGTTATCAGAGTACAACTTTAGTGTCGATGCCTCAAATATCGTCTCAGCCATTGGCAAAATTAAAGATATTAGATGGCCTAAGCCCATATAGACAGATCCTTCTCAGAGAAACCCCGACTTAATTTGTAAGTACCATGGCACTCACGGGCATAAGACCGAGGATTGCAGACATCTTAGAGAGGAGGTAGCTCGACTATTCAACGAGGGGCACCTTCGTGAATTTCTCAATGACCGGGCCAAAAACCATTTTCGGGAAAGAGATGCAAATAGGAAGAATGAACCTGAAAACCCCCAGCATGTCATTCACATGATCATCCGAGGAGCAGACGTCCCACAGGGACCTACATTCAAACACACTAAAGTGTCCATCACAAAGGAAAAATGGACTCAGAGCTTTGTGCCCGAGGACGCCCTATCATTTTGCGACAAGGAAGCAGAAGACGTATCCCAGCCTCACAACGACGCCTTGGTAATCTCTATCCTTTTGAATAAAATTTAGGTTAAACGTGTTTTAGTGGATCTAGGTAGTTCGGCGAACATAATCAGATCGAGCATCATGAAACAACTCGGTTTGCAAGATCAGATTGTACCTGCATCCCGGGTGTTGAATGGCTTCAACATGGAAACAACGAAAGGAGAAATTATCTTGCCTATAAATGTAGACGGGACCATACAAGACACCGGATTCCATGTCACCGAAGGTGACATGAGGTATAACGCACTCCTCGGGAGGCCGTGGATACACAATATGAGGACAGTGCCTTCAACTCTCCATCAGATGATGAAGTTCCCGACAGAGAAAGGAGTGAAAATAGTCCACGGAGAACAGCATGCTGAAAAAGAGATGTTCGCAATCGAGAAAGTAGTGCCAATACCGGAACCCTTGACCTCGGAGACATCGACCTCCAAAGGTAAGTAGGTGGCAAAGTAGTATTCACAACTCCGAGTCTCGACGGAAGCGGAATAACAGGTAATCGGAGGCGAAGAAAGGAATTCTCCAGATCCTCGAACCCTCACTGTTCCCGGAAAGCTCGATGCTACCGCTGAAAGGAAAGGTACATATAAGAATAGGAAGTAGTCCCCGATCTCAAGAAAAAACTCATTTATTTTCTTGTTGATGATATAGATCACATTGCTTCGATATGACAGGGATTACGCTCGATTGATAAACAGGTAAAATAATTAAAACTTATATTGATGATATGACTGGTTAAGTCCTTGTGCGCAGGGGACCACTTTAATTCATTTGCAGTAAATAGTCAATGTTTCGGGGCAATATGACACGAAGCTCATTCCAGAAAGGCGTTCCCTCGAAGTTGGGGCGACTGAGCTTCTCGACCTTCGCAACATCAAATCAGGGCACCAAAGTCATCCCCGACCAGACCAAGGTCCTCGGAGATATCTTGGTCACGGAAAGCAAGACCTCAAAGTCGTTGGTAAAGGAACTTACAGGCTCAGTACAATGGAGGCTCTCAAAGGATCGTGCTCTCGAGAACGCCCCTTCCTACATGAAGGCTGTAGGTTATAGAGCATACGTTGCACTCTTTTTCCCTTAGCTCAAATTTTGTCCCAAATGGGTTTTACCGGGAAGTTTTTTAACTAGGCAACACCTATATGCTACCCGAGGAATGGCAAATAAGTATTTAAGGCTTCTTTCCAAATCAACCTCGAATACTGGAGGGCATCACCCTCGGAGATTACATTTTTGAGAAAAATATTTCACACCTAAATGGACCTCGATAGGAAAACTTTGTAATGGGCCAAACAGTCCAACGAGTCGTGGCCATATAGAATAGTCGAGCTCCGGCAGCTAAACATGTATGCATGTATCGACTATTTGAAGAAACACTCTGATTACATCAAAAATACTTTGTGTCTCATACAAGCTCTACACTTACAATCCTACGGGAAACGGCTTAAAAGCTAAAACATAGAAACACCCCGAGTACTCAGGGACTACCATCGAAATTCGAATTAATAAGACCTCAAAGAGGCACTCAAAATTCGAATTAATAAGACCTCAAAGAGGCACCCCTTCGAAATAAAGGCCAAGGCCAATATTCTTGGGGTTTAACTTCTCGAACAAGTTCGGAAAGTTATTGGGGAACAAGTCCAAGTGGCATACCCAAAGGCTACGACCATACTAAAGACTATGGTCATATAAAGGCTACGGCCAAATAAAAGACTAAGGTTATATAAAGGCTACAACCAAATAATGTGGCTCGGAGACATCCGACTTCCTCTATAAATTAAAAGGCATTCAAACACTTTGTAAAAACCGGTTAAATCAGGCTACCCTCGGCAAAAGCAAAATACAAAAGGCTTCGATAAATTCAGCCATCAAAAATTCCAAGGGTTTCG